GGCAGCTATTTATATAGTAGAGACTCCACCCCTAATCCCAGCCTGCATTGTAGGTAGGTACACAAAGATGGTTAATATGGTGGACCACATTCCCCAGGATGCCTTGTAATGGGCAGCCCTACAAAGATGGCTATCCTAGGTCCATCTTTTTAATCCTTACATCAGTTAAGGAACTTAAACTCTAGCTTCAGGTCCTCAAATCAGGGACAGTAGGAGGGGCTTCTTTCCTGGTCTCATATTGTATTCCCCAGGCTATTTCCTCTTCATCGGGCATCCATTTGCAACAGAAAAACACAGAATTTGTGGTGTTTTGTTTTTTTAAACAGAGAATCTTTAGTTTTTACATTTTATGAAAAAATAAAAACATATACAGTGGTACCCCCATTATCCTATCTAACTGGGACTGGGACAAGATCGGATCATCAAACATTTGGATAATCAGGAGAATGGGCAGCGCTCAGGCTGTCAGCCCTGGGTGGCGGGACGCCGGCTGTCAGCTTAAAAATTGTAAATATATCAATAAAACGTTGTGTTCAACTAAGACCTATATAGTGGCTAGGGAAACTAAAGTTCCACGTTTCATTTTAATTGCGGAAAAACAGGGATTTTTGTTCTTTTTTAATCAGAGAATTTTGTTTATTTTATCATGGAAAACTAGGATCCCTGCTCATCATAAGATTTTGTATTTTAATTTCTCTGTTTCTTCAAGAAAAAGAAAGAAAAATCTAGAGCAACGGGGCTGGAATATAATTTACAAGGTCCACAATTTGTCTCCCTGTTCACAGCAGCTATAAAAATCAGCAGTATACAGGCTCCCTCTTGTGGGGGTGATAAACTGTGCAGAAGCATGAAGATTTCAGCAGTTACTGCAGTGAGATCTACCTACGGACAAAGTTTTCTTTGTTCTAAACTTTCTTCAGAGAGATTACCTACAATATTTGGTGGCACTGTTAGTATCACAGCTCCCAGCCTTAGCAATGTTTACACAGCTGTGCATGAATGAAGCTCAGTTTTTAAATGCTTATAACTAAGCGTAGGTGCTGGAACTAGGGGTGCTGCCACACCCCCTGGCTGGAAGCGGTTTCCATTGTATACAATCTGGTTAAATGGTTCTCAGCAACCCCACTATACAAACTGTTCCAGTACCCCTGTAACTAAGGTGGTTTGCAGTGTTGTTGTAGCCATGTCGGCCCCAGGACATTAGAGAGACATGGTGGGGGAGGTAATATCTTTTACGTGGTTTCAAACAATTCCAGTAGAACCCAGCCCATCAGGGACCCAGGAGAGGGTTGGTGTTTTTTTTTGTTTGTTTGTTTTTTGGGGGGGGGGTTCAGGGGGAGGGCATGTTTTGTTTTTACTTGTTGCTCTTTTATTCCCTTGCAGTGCCCTAGACTTCTCCTTTTAGTGCCCTGAATGGGGTGATCATGCCCCCTTTAATGCTTTGTAGATGTTACTGATGATATACACAGGAAGCACGCTGATCTTTCTGGGGATGGCTGTGTAGTGAGTGTCACTAGAGTTGGGGGTCTCTCTGGGGCTGGCAGTGCAGTGAGTAGGAGGAAGATATGGAGTCTCTCTGGAGCTGGGGTGCAATGACAGCTGAATCTCCGGGGCCTGTGTTGGAGCCGCTAACACGAGCTAAAAACACACCTATTCTCCTTGGGAAGACAAGGCTGTTAAGACCCCATTGCTGCCTAGAGCCATGATCCTGCAAACACTCAGACATGTATTTAACTTTCAGTATTGCGTTTGCAGGGTTCAGGTCCAGAGATACATAAATCTAGATGCCAGAGTCTCACACAAGAAAGTCTCGATCACAGGCAGGGATCCTGGAGCATTTCAGTTTTACCAATCAGCTGTTCAAAAAACAAAAAAAAAAAACCCACCACAACCTCCCCTTAATCTTGTAATATTGCCTGCTACACCACTATGTTTGACCATGTTTGCAGGCACACACTGCCAGTTAGTGCCAATGGACCCTTAGAAGGGATAGGAAGCCAAAAATTGGCTTTCCTGGGTTAGAAAATAGGTATGTGGAAAGGGAAAAGGGAGTGCAGGAACAGCATCAGAGCAGGACCTGCTAATGAAATAAGGGTGGGAAGGGGTCACTATAACTTGCAAGTCACCTATTTTTAGTGTAAGGTGGTTGCTTGGGTCCTTGGCAACCTTGTGTTTGGGTTGCTAAAATTCCCAAACACTGTTATTTTTAAAACCTTAACCCTTGTTCAATGTAAGTTTCCTGCCTCCCTTACCCCCACTGCACTCCCCTGGTCTGTCATATAGATAGCGTACTCCTCAGACCTGGGTTTGGGGCCCAGGTCTCCTCTTCCCAAGTGCTCAAAACTCATGAGTCAGACCCCAAAATAGCATCAGATTCTAAAAGCAATAGGTTTGGGATCTTTTTATTTGCCTGCTGCTGGTGGAACTTTTAGAGGATCACATTTGCAAACTTTTCTCTGCAGCTACAAGGGCTTAAAAAAAGGCATTTTTTTTTCCAAAATGGAAGCTGAGATTCTCACATATCACATGACTCCAGGAGCTGGGGCTTCTAGAAATCAGCATGAGACTTGAGCTAGCAACATTCTTTCCCTTACACAGGTATGAGACAGGAACAACTCTAAGTCGCTGATGTAGAACTGGCAACAGCAGAGGCAGCCTCTTTTACTTAATCATCTGAGAAGTGAAATGCATAGTAAGGATCAAATTCAGCTCTGGTGAATGCCATCAACTCTGAGGCCTGGTTTTCCATCTCGTTACTCCACTGATTAAGCTGCACCAGTATAAGACCAGAGTGATACAGCAGGGAATCAGGTTCTAGCAGCACTAGCAGGTGCAAGGAGCATTCAACACCCCCCACAACCTAGCACCTTTGAACAGGCATCTCCATGGGAATTGAGGATATAGAGGTCATTGCTCTCCCACCCCCAAACCGTGGGTGGGGCACAGATCTCCAGTGTCACCTGTCTGTCCAGTCCAGCCAATAGATTTGTTTAACAGCTCCTGCTACCCCACTACCCTCCATAGCAGCGACGCTCAGCCCCATGCTCAGGAGCGGCAAGTGACTCTTCGCCGAGTCCCGCCTCTCGTGATATTAGAACACTGTGATTTCACTGTTAACCAATCAGAAGGCTTTTCCTCTGTTATTAATCAATTGTAGAGTACTTGTTCAGTCATTTTGCTGTGATAACCTGTTTATTTATAAAAATGTAAATAAAACAATGAATTCACACTCCTGGGGCTCTTGAACCACAGGATCAAAGTGCAGAGCTAGTACTACCCTGCCCCCCAATCAGACAGCTGTGGATGCCTGTGGTCATCCTGGCATGCCCCCTGGTGGCCAAGGTATGGAATCCCTATGCTTCACCAGGACTACACCCCCCAGCATCCCTTAATAATTACTACCTAGGCACTTTTGTAGGAGTCAAGCAGCTCTTTTGCTGGGGAGTTATTTAGTTTTCTCAGTTCAAACCTATTACACCAGGTTCTTCAGCCTTTGCCCCTTCTTGGAATAAACAGGCTTTTTCCTCCCACCTCTCAGGGCTCATGGTTAGCTTATGTGCATGCCTCTGCCCTCCCCAGGCCTACTTCTATGCAGAGGTTTTATGCTGCTTCTTGCAGCTGGTCACAGTTCTGCTCTTCCTGGGCCTACCTTCTTCCTGAAGGGATTGCTACTTCTCACCGCGAGGCACAGTTCATTCCTGTTCACCCTAGGCCTGCCCTCTTCCTGAAGTACTAGCAGGCAGTTTTTTCTCTTCTCATCTCCTCCAAACTGACTTAGTCCTGCTGTCTCCTCCGTAATTATACTCCCAAACAGGTGGCATCCCACCGCCTCATCAGGCCCCCAACTGGGTGCACCTGTTTAGTCATCAGGGTGGCTGAACTTGCTTCATTTAAGGCTGTGATACCATCCTCTTCAGGGCCAGTGTAGAGATCTCTTCTGCAGCCCACAAGGTGTGGTGCTCTGCACAGCAGTTACCTCACCCAGCCCTACCTACAGGCCAGGTAATTTAATTGTATAGCCTGTGTTATTATGCAGTACATACTGGGCCTCAGGGAGTGATTTTTGTATTCGTTTTCATTACTCCACAGACTGTAGAACCATTCTGATCGACTGCAGGGTACTGGCTCATACTGGTGAAAAAGCTGCGGTGGTACATTCAGTTGCATGTCCTGTCTATGTTCCTGTTTGACTATTAATTATGAGCAATAAAACATTTTAGATCACTTTTTGTAAAAAAAAAAAAACCCCAAAACAAAAACACACCACCATAAGTCTGGGGCCTAAGCTAGCCAGCATTGTCTCTTTAGTGCAATAATGTGCCTTGTGAAAGTACAATCCAGCCAACCTACAGTGTCTTAATGCATCTCTCTCTCTCTGGACACACAGTAGCCCCAACCCCACTCAAGAGAAGGGCTATATTTTGTATTTTTTTTTACCACTAGCAATACTTATTCCTTCCACTTGGCGTGGCTCATGGTAGAATGGCTGCAGCTGAGGGGAAGGGACTTACAAGCATCTCCATGGACAAACTGGTTTCTCTCTTCAACTCCACCGCCCCCCGAACCCTATTACCCACTCTAGAGAGGGATTTTTCTCTTATTGTTACCCTCTGCTTTGCAAAGATCAGTTTTGTCACTGTTATCCTTTCCTGTGTCCATCCCTCAGTTTCTTTGCACTCAAGTATATTTTAGAGTGGCGTGGTGGACGGAGCATAGAGCTAGAAACATCCAAATGCTAACCTCCGCTGTGCCATGATTTGCTCAGTTACCATGGGGCACATCAGTTTCCTCATCTGTACCATGGGGACAGCAATACCTACCTCGGAGGGGTGTGGTGTGCACTAATATAAGCAAAGCAATTTGAGTTCCTCAGATGCAAGGAGTTATAGCTGCCCTTGTTAATAACATGTGTGACTCAACAAGCAATCCTTGTTAAGCTGTGTTATCATTCCATTGCCTGTCAATCCAGTTTCATCAGTTTCTAGTAAGGGCACCCGATCTGGTAGACAAAGCATTATTTAATTTCAAGACTTTATAAATATGTATTTACAAAAAGATATTCGTCCAAAGAGTTTAACAAATGTACAGTGCCGGAGTTTGAAGAGATTTTACTATTTCAATATATTGCTTTAGTATAGGAAGAAAAACACTGTTAATGCAATCCCACGATTTAGATCCAAAAAAACCTATACTTTTAAATTAAAAAATACCCATCCAGGGTTGTATTTTCCCCTCTGATGTAAAAGACCAATCCCCCTTCAACTGAGTTACAGGACAAGGGAGAATTGATCCCCTCTCGACACCACTTTTCAAGCAAACTACATCACCTTCCTCCATCTAACTGAACAACATAACCCAAAAGTCCATGAGCACACAGCAGATGCAGATTTCTTACCAATCCCAATTAATTTGTTGGTGGGCACAACTTGAGGAGCAATTACAGCATGGATTAGTGTAACATTAACCTTTCTGCCAACTTGGCATTCAATCATTAGGTTTCTTAGACCACTCCGGAATATGAGTTATTCAGATTGCATGAATCCGCCCTGCCAGCAAAACAGTGAGTGAGAGGAGAGTGGCCAGTTAAAAGTTTGGAATCATACACTGAATTTTTAGCAAGGGCTGTTTTCAACTACTAATAATGTTCAACTGCACTGTACTAGCAAGTGAGCCTGAGCATTATTCTCTCTCTATTATATATATACACACACACACACTGTACCGGGGGGGAGAATCAGCAGTCAGTTATTTCCAATAACAGCAGTGCCATCCTTTGCAGACAGACTGGCAGTCAATGCAGGTCTGCAATACACCATTTCCAGCAGTGGCAAACTTACTGATCATTTATCAGGTATCACCATCCCCATCTATCCCAGGGAGCCTCAGATCCCCCTTGGGCACAGTGTAGATGTATTGTGGTCTGTTAAGGCAGCATGAAGCATTTTGTTTTATTAGTAATGGCCAGGCAACAACCACACACAGCTTCCCTTCGCTACTAGTATTTAGCACGGCTTCCCCGACACCCACTGCCTGCTCTCATGCTCTCTGTTCAGACACACACCACAGGGTAAGGGGGGGATTCTGCCCCACACTAAGGATTTAGTTCTACACCATCCTAGCTCCTGCCTTCTTTGGGAAGCAAAACTTCTATACATCGAGCAAGGTGGAATCAAAGCTGCAGCACAACCTCTCAGTCAGGTGTTAATCAGGCTGTCCAGAATATCAAAGTATCATTCATAAGTGAAGTAACTGAGCTGCTTAGATGTCACTTTAAGATCCCACCCAAGCCAATGACAGAAGTCCCACTGAATTCAATGGGAACAGGTTCAAGACCAACATCTGCTAACAGGTCATCTTCTAGCTGCAGTCAATGTACAGAATAAGAGTGGGATTTAGACAGCATTACTTCCAACTGCCGAAGTAATTCTGCTACTAGTAATTCTGCAGGGTGAATTGCTATTTGATGCAATTGCTGGAGGGATGGGGGAGTCCTTGGATGATATAAAGCCTGCCTCGTTTACATTTTTCACACTGACAAATTATGAGGAAGAATGCCCAGAAGTTTTCTCTCTTACTTTACCCCAGACTGTTTAGTTCCCATTTAGGCTCCAGATCTATGATTTTCTTTAATTAAAAGATTCGGTGAATTAACTCAAGTGCCTTAACCAAACAAACGATTAGAAGAGCTCTGAAATGCACACTGTTGCAGAAAAACTGAGTAATTTGCTAGGAGAACTGACCTGAAGTCTTACAAGATTTAATTTAAAAAAAATCCACACAGTTTATGCAGCTCCTAAACTCATGGTCAGAAAACATTTACTATTGTTCACCAGTATAAATCCACTCCAATTTTGGATCAGTCTTCAGGATGCAGCTTGGTCATCTTTAACCACCGTCTGTGGAAGAAAGAAAAGGGGCATTACTTCAGAACTAAGCTAGTCACAGCCGGATTCCTAGGGGAAATGTTTTAGAAAGATGGCCTGTGCCTTCTTGGCTAGAAAACCCTTGACAAATCAAAGAGTGACTAAATTTGAGCCAAAAAACTGAGTTAGTCTATATCTTCACTGCAAAATGAGGTGTGTTTTTATACTGAGTCAGCTATTTCAATGTACGGTTTCAGAGGAACAGCCGTGTTAGTCTGTATTCGCAAAAAGAAAAGGAGGACTTGTGGCACCTTAGAGACTAACCAATTTATTTGAGCATGAGCTTTCGTGAGCTACAGCTCACTTCATCAGATGTTGAAGTGAGCTGTAGCTCACGAAAGCTCATGCTCAAATAAATTGGTTAGTCTCTAAGGTGCCACAAGTACTCCTTTTCTTATTTCAATGTAAAATCCCAGTGAAGATCAGGCACAGGTAGTTTTTACCTTGAGGCACCTACTCAACCCCAGGTGTGGGGGCAGAGTGTCTTCCATCTGTAGCTCACCATTGTCCTTAGACCCAAGTATACCACAGAGCATCACGCTAAGTCATCAGGACGACAGGCTGCCAAAAGGGTAAAGTACGAATACCCATGCTGGGGAACTCCTAATAAGGAGTTCTTCCACCCCTCACCCCATACTCTCTTTAGGCCCAGGCAGGGGAGTTTGTGGGACAGAAACACAGATATTGCCTGTGAGAAACAGCCTTCCTCCACTCCTGTAGCAAGAGATTTGCAATGAAACCACCACTTTTTACGCTGTTCACAAGCCCAGCAAATTGTAAAACCAACATAAAATTATTGAATGGTACCAGCTTTTCTACATGCAGCAATAAAGACAATAAAACTCAGTGCAGTTAGCTTGGTCTTGCTATGTCCCTGCCAGCTGAAAGCTACTGGGCTAAAGAAGACTGCTCCAAAGTAACTTGGTTAATGAGCCAAGTCTCAGTGTCCCATGTGCCCTATTTAAACACATGCTGAGAAGGGACATTTAGGCTTCACTCAGTAACCTTTGGGATCCTCACCTGCCGCAAGAACTGTCTTCCAAGATAGGAGGTAGCCATGCTGGTTAAATTTGTTGTTCTGCCCACTTTACACTTGATATAACCATACAGGTTGGCCCCCTGCAGAACCACTCCCATTGTAACCACTGCCTGTGACAGAGGAGAAAAGATGCAAGGATCAGGGATATATTGTCCAGTTCTCTAAAGTCACAGGTGACAAATCTGTCTAGGTATTTAATGCACCTAGTCGCTATAGGATTGAGGTGCTAAACTCACCAGCCATTTCACTTTGAATGAGAACAGGGCACTGAAAGCAAATATCACCCAGATGACAGGACAGGTAATTAGTCCTAACCAGAAGATTCGGGACTCTGCTTCAGATGAAACTTTTTTCCCTTGAGCCAATGCCTGGAAATGGAAGGAAGTAGAAATTGATCAGTCTGTTTACTTGTACAGCCCACAGTATCATTAAAAACAACTCAGAACCAACATCCCACATGGGTTTGCATCCATACTGCAGCGCACAATTGACTGCTTCGGTGCACTCCTAAGGCGCATGGGGAGCTTTCTAGCCCTCTTGGTGCTGTGGAAACATGGCATTTTTTTTAAAAGGATTTTCCTGTCAGTTTTCTGACTGAAATGAAGGTGTGGAATATGCCCTTCGCTATTTTTAGGGACTGGATAAGGCACATTTTTGAACTATTAACATAACACCACAAGTTCCCGATGACATCAGCCACCAGAAGAGCATACCAGTGGCCCATCATCACATGCCCTAGTGTACAGTGTCGCTATCACAAACCAAGGGGGTGGGAGGGAAATAGTGATACATCTTATTACTATTAGAAAGCTGGTGTTGCCATACCCAGCAAAACTTCCCCTTTAAACAATCATCAGCTAACTGGACTGCTGCATCTTTATTAACACTTAGCACTTGCTTATTAAAAAGTCCCTTGTATTGTATTGCACTATATAATTATACAGCATGAGACAGGCCAAGACATACTGCAGAGCCCTTGGTATATTTCAAAGCACTGTATAGGCAACAACAGATGCAAAATTAAATCCTTATGCCCTCAGTAAGTAGGGCTATGTAGAGTAGTACAGACAAATGGGACAGTGCTAACTCATACAGACTTACTATGTTTAGTTTTCGTACTAGTTCCTAGTATTACTGAGCCTGAGGTCATGTCCACCAGACGTGGAAAGAATCGAACCTGTGAGGACAAGCTCTCAAGCAAGCATCCATTCCCTATTAATATATTTTCCCCCAAGACAATATTAACCCAATACAGCATTAGGCGTTTCGGACAACTGAACTGAACTGCAAATATTCTATTTCTTTTCCTCTGCTCTAGTTTCTCTAAACTAGCTTGATCTGGAGAAAGGGCGGTCCAATGGTTAAGGTGTTAGTCTAGGATTTGAAAGACCTGGGTTCAAATTCCTTCTCAACCACAATTCCTGTGTGCCCTTGGGAAAGTCACAGTCTCTCTGGCCTCAGTTCCCCATCTGTACAATGGGGATAACAGCCTTCCCTGCCCCACCAGGGAGCAATAAGTACATTGAAGATGGTGAGGTGCTCAGACACTATGGTGATAGGGGCCATATAAACATCTAAGATTAACAGATGGATCGTTTAAGAACATAAGAATGGCCACACTGGGTCAGACGAAAAAAGGTCCATCTAGCCCAGTATCCTGTCTTCGGACAGTGACCAATACCAGGTGCCCCAGAGGGAATGAACAGAACAGGTAATCATCAAGTGATCATCCCTTGTCGCCTATTCCTAGCTTCTGGAAAATAGAGGCTAGGGACTGATGAAATGTTATGAGAGTTAAAACATTTAATTTCAGAAATCTTACACTGACTTCACACAGTGAAATGGTCTCTGCTTTTGGGATCCCACAAATGAAAGGTGAGGGCATGACTGGACTCCAGCTCTCCGCGATGGCCTGTTTCACATTTACACCAAAGGAGATACAGAGCCTCTAGGTCATTGGCTCCATATCAGATCAGGACAGGATAGTGACAGAACCGTTCAGAAAGTGGCTGAGGGTTAACAACATTTGATGGCCATGCACTAGCCTGTATGAAACAAGCTGGTGCTTTCAGCCGGTGACTAGTGCCAAATGTCCACCTCACAATAGTGTCACTCCTCAGCACATGGAGATTTTAATCAAACTGCAGCAGTTAAAACACAAACATTAAACATTTACCTTCCTGGCTTCAAACACCCAGTGACTCTTGCCATCATCATCTACCTGGTTCCACCAGCGAAGGCCGACCATCAGCCGGCCCGTAACATTCTGGAGAGGGTTAAATGCAGGAGGAAACGGGGTTCAGAGAGATTTTAGCCCTATACCACCAACCAAAGAAATCTTCCCGTACCTTGCCCATGAAATACCAGAATGAACATTCAAAACCAGTTCTTTCCGTGTCTTATAAACTCCTAATGTCTTCAGTTGCCATGGCAATCTCACCAACCAATGCCACCGCTTATTATATCGGTTGCTACCAGACCATATTCCTTAAGCTGTATTATAGGTGATGCTAGTAGCTACCGGCATGGCTTATATTTAAGGTTGCCTAACCATTCCCATTATATGGCCCGGTTTTCAGTTGTCTATAACTTTGCCAAACTTTAACCATTTGGGCTCAGTGACAGCTCGTCAGCCTAGGCAAATGCAGCACAGTTAAACCAAAGAATTCACAAGCAAAATTCACAAAAGTGACATCTTTTGCATATATAGATTTGTAAGCTTAGGTAAGCATGTACATGTTAAATAAGTAACATAAGCCCACAAGAAGCACTTGTGATTTGATTTAAATCTGCCACGTTACTTTCTCGCTCTCTCTCGTGAAATACAATACAAGAAAACGTAGTGCCGCCGGTGAGGCTCAAATCGTGGCATAGGTACAAGTGTCTCAGGAAGCTGCTTTGAGGGCACTGCTGTAGTAACAACAGCTTAGTGAGGCTGTGGCAGGATTGCCACACTCAAGGCTGGTTCTGACACGAAGTTGAGGGGTCTCTCCCCCAGCACTGACACAAACGGGACTGGAGGGGGCTCCCAGCATGGCCGAGGGACCCAAGACAGAGCGCAAAGTGGGGGGGAGGTGGCAGTTGTCCTGGCCCCATAGAGCAGAGGACCCCCCAGCCAGAATTGCAAGGAGGATGAGCTGCAAGCTGCGGGGGAAGCCACCCTACTGCTGAACATCTCCTGCTTGGGGACGACTCCCACACCCCTGACTCAAGAGTGAAGGAGCAGGGCTGTGACAGAGCTGCAGAAGACTCCCTGAACAGCCACATGGCCAGTTCACTGGATGTAGGGGGAGGCTGTGGTCCTGCAGAGGCAGGTCAGAGGCCCCTGGCCATCACTGCAAGGAGGAGGACATACAAATTCCAGTGTAAGACTTTGTGATATGAGCCTCACCAGCTGTCTGAAATGTCTGAGCTGAAATTTTACAAGATAGTAGTCTGCCTCAGGGTGGGAAGAGTGCGGCTGAGTGGGTATCCGTGGGATGAGTGGGGAAGTTTGGGACAAATAGCCTCAAAAGTGAACTGGTACTGGGGATGGGAAAGACTGGGACAAGGAACCTGGAATGAGGATTTAGGATCACAAATAGCACGTGATCTTATAATTTAAGACTATCATACAAGGGGATAAACTAAGATTGCACAGGCAACCTTAACTCTAGCATCTCCTAACTTCTGAGAGTGCTTGACTTTGTAATCTTAATGTTCTTTTAATGTAGAGTTTATGTGCAATGTCATGTGCTGTAGGCTTGCACTACGTACTCTAACTGGGCTCCAAAGATAGCTTCTCATATCCTTATTCTCAGAGCTCAGTTGGGGCATGCTGCTGGGGAAGATCCTGTTGTTTCAATATTCACACTTCCAGTAATAAGGTAACTCATCAGTCTGACGGGCTAGGCTACAAAGTCACCATATACATCACTCTGACAAGCAGAAGCAGCTTTAAAGAGAAAGCAGTTTATTAGTACCACCAAGCAGCAGAACTGTGCACTCCTGTTTTAAAGCCCAATAATGAATTTGTATTAGGTGTGCATTACTAATAATAATTAACATGATATTTCAGGGCAAGCCACAGCAACAGCCTGGTAGATTCTCTTGAGGTGGGAACTCGCAATGCCTTTGCCAAATGCTAGTGCAGTAAAGCAAGGCGTCTTCATTAGAGGGTAACGGAGTGGAAAGCCAAGTTCCTAACAGTATTGGGGTAGTACTTTATTCCTGAATTTGGTGATCTCAATAAGCAGAGTCAAGTATAATGCAAGCAGGCATTGTTTAGGATCTCTCGTGGCCATGCCAATGTATTTTCTAGCATCTTCAGCCCAACAACAATTAATTTCAATAATATTAAGGAAAAAACTGTGGGTTGGGGTTTTTTGGCAAGTCTTGAATCTGAAGGAGACCTCTTCATTTCTGTTTATGAAGCCTATAGTGTATTACGTGAATCAAAGGAAAGTCTGAGATTAACCCCCACCCCATCCACCCCTCCAAAATAAATAAGAGAGGGACAGAATCTGAGATTAAGAGATTCCCAGAACTTCTAAAGTTCTTAAAGAAATTGTAACGTTTCATAACTTTCAGGATCTAAAAGAGTTGACTTTATTTTTGAACAAAGCCAAACATATTCAGAGTTTGACCCGACCTATTGCTCTCTTGAAAGAATATTTTAAAGTGATAAAAGGGGCCTTACCTTTACTGTCCAAAAGTCACACGACAGGAGCAGGATAATTGACACCATGCAGGCAATAAAGCTGCTGCTGATCAGTTCACAGAGAAGATAGACCATTATTGCACTGACTCGGAAGAACAAGTGGAAAAATGATGCCACTGGGTGCCTGGAAACAATACATCAGAAATACAATTCAGTCATATATCTCTGAAACAAGACTGAAGCCACTTGGCAAAGAGAGGGCATGTTCTCTCAAGACAGAAGAGGATTTTTTTCATCTGCACAGCCTAGAAGGGCAAATGCCTTTAAATGAGACCAGTTTGCAGAGCATGCTGACAACAGTGGGAAAGATGAGCTTTCAGGGGTTCGCAACCTTTTTCTTTCTGAGGCCCTTCCCAACATGCTATCAAAACTCCATGGCCCAGCTGTGCCACAACTGTTTTGCTGCATACAAAAGCCATGGCCGAAGTTAGGGGGTAGCAAGCAGAGCAATTGCCCAGGGCCCTACACCACAGGGGAGACCACAAAGCCAAGTTGCTCAGACTTTGGCTTCAGCCCTGGTGGTGGGGCTCAGGGCCCCTGGCTGCAGACCTGCGCAGTGGGGCTTTGGCTTTTTACCCTAGACCCTAGCAAGTTTAACACTGGCCATGCTTGGCAGACCCCCTGAAACCTGTCCGCAGCCTCCCAGAGGGCCACGGACCCCTGGTTGAGAACCACTGCTCTAGGAGATAACTACACAGACTTATCCGGCCTGTAGCCATTGTTCAAAGTGCATGCAGGATTTGAGGTGGGAGAGAAGAAGGGAACAGGTGAAGCCCCTCAGAAGTTCTCAGTATGTAGCAGTTTTGGAACGGTAACATTAAGACAAACACTCTATTGAGATGAATGGAAGCAGATCGCACCTCTCTATAGGGAAATGCTGCTCTTTTCTCAGTCTGCTCTGGTGCGTTTCCATTTCAAAGAGGCTTTACTCTACAGGAGCTCCCTGTGTGTGGCTGTACAGCGCATTTGGGGTTAAAGCAGGAGTGAGGCTGCTGGATCAGCCACTATGACATGGCATGCAAGGGGAAGGGAACCAGAACAGAGGCTATTCCAGACATGAGACTGGAGAAATGTTCATGGAGTGGCCTAGAAAGAAGGATTCCTCCTCCCTCTATGTCCTGAAAAACTCCCTATTACACAAGACGCAATGCACTGGAGCCTGGATTTTGGCCAGTTCACACCTCTTATTGTTTCAGACTGTCTTCCTGAGTCTGCACACAGATAGCACAACATCACAAACATACAGACTGTGGACTTTTTTTAAATAGAAGATTAAATTCTTCAGCAATTCATGAGTAAGCCTCCTACCCTCCCCATTTGCCAGGAAACATTTCTTAAAAACATGACATTCACTTCTAAGTAAAGAGAGAAACTCACTGCTCATGCACCAATAAGTAGACATGAAACATACAACAACAAACATGCCAGTCCTGCTTTTGCCACATTTCTGGGTGGAACACAGGAAGGAACAATTCCTATTGACCACAGACCTTATCTTTGACCTTTTTGATCTCGTGGATACTTCTTCATCCGCGTCAAACAGTGACACATCTTCAGTGTCATCATTACTGTCCTAAAGTGGCAGACAGATACGAAATGTTACAAGAGAAGTAATTGATACAGTATTTTCAGATGCAAAGGGGGGATGGTTTTCGTTATGCAGAATTATTGGGATTAGGCCTTAAGGTCAAAGGACTCTGGAAAGAACTTATAAATTAAACAAATGCAACAGAAATCTCACACACACAAATTGTTTTAAACACTGTCTCCTTCATCTTGCATGTGAAAACCACCTTAAACACATGCTTTGAGTCCAAAGGGCTCTTTTGCAAACAGTAGGGTAATTTCAGGTCTTAATATAAGTCCTTTATGCACACAGCCTCACTCCTTTTGAGCATTTCTGGACTTTTACAAAACAGTTGTTTATTTTCAGAGGCCATAAACCTGGGCTTGTCCATGTTATATTAGGGTTCCCCAGAGGACATGAGTGGTGGAAGTACAGACTGTATATTTCTCAGAAGTTGGAAGTTACTTGTCTAAAGCCTGATTTACACATACTTTTTGCATTTATATAACTAGTTCAGTTAAGAGTGTGATTCTTTTTCTTTTAAACCAAAATAGTTATAAAGGTACAAACCCTAGCGTGGACAGTTATGCCAGTATAAAGGTGCCTTTGCGGATATAGCTTATTCTCCTTTCCGTGTGAGAATAAGCTACACTGATGTAAACAACCTTATACCAATATAACTGCATCCACAAAGTGGGTTGCATCGCTTAAACTACATTGATATAGTTAAAGCAGTACAAATTTTATGCGTAGATAAGCCCTCAGATATCTCCAGTGATGTAAATTTTCCTTTCAGTAGGCACACTTATCTGCCATTAACACTAAATCAGGCATTTGTGTGACAGGGTAGTATTTTAAAAAAACATCTGTCACATTTTTATCAACTAAAGCTGTGTCTACAGTGCCACTTTCAGCGCTAAAACTTTTGTCGTTCGGGGTGGGAGTCACACACATGCAGACTGCTGCAGCATTGCTCCGCATACAAAGAAAATCACATAATGCATTCTTCAAAATCTTTCCGGCTTCCCATTCAATTCAGGAATATGCTCAAATTTTCCCTTGTTTTTAAGACTCCTACCACTCCACTCAGTGGACTTACCCCAGCCAAATACACAGGCCATGGGCCAAATTCAGTGTTGATGTAATGCAGTGTTACAAATTAGTCTAGTATTCCATCAGTGTGCAAAACGTGTGTAGCTCACCTGCACGGCAGAAGGTGAGGAGGGCGGGGGGGGCTATGGCAGGAAAAGCAACTATCAAGGGATGTAAAACAAAGCAAGCCCTTACCTCACCTTCTTTTACACCTGCCTATCAGCTGCTTTTCCTGCTACACTACTCCTCTAAGCACATAAGTTAAATTATTTTGCACACACACAAGATGCCAAATCATTCCACACAGTACACATTACACCCATGTGATTGTGATAATCAACTTATTCCACTCTTTAGCCAACTTTTAAATTTGACTCCTTGTGTCTCTTAATACCTTTCCCTGCTTGTGTAATGCTTATCTTCTGAAACCATCCCACAATTTTGAGTCTTAGGCTGTGTCTACACACTGCCACTTTCAGTATTAAAACTTTAGTCATTCAGGGGTATGAAAAAAACCACACCCCTGAGCGACAAAAGTTTTAGCGCTGAAAAACGTCAGTATAGACAGCACTTTAAAGCTATCACTCCTCATTTGGGGTGGGTTTTTTTTAATCACCAGGAGAACTCTCCCCTGGCGATAAAGCGTGACTACACTGCCCACATCATAGCGCAGCCGCGCTTTAACATGGGCAACGTAGACATACCCTCAGGAGAAATGCCTTCCGTAGGGCTACTCCTATCTGAAGGGTCTTCTATTTTCTCCTCACTTCATCTAATAGTCATCATATCTGATATCCTCTTTTCTCCTGTGCTTACATCACTTCATTTTCTCTCCCTCTGCTATAAATTGTTTTATGGTAAATCCATAACTATTATTTAACTGTGAAATATAGAGAGATACAGTGTTTATAAAATTAAGAATATTCAAAATAAGAGTCTGACCCGGAGAGATACGGACAACCAGTAACAACCAATAAAGTCAACAGAAGCCACAGTTGTTCATCACCTTTCTGGAGCAGGTTCTAAAGTTGTACTTTATGGAAAGATCTCAGGCATTTGCACAACTCAACTCTTTTCAAAGTTCCATGCCCAGAACCCCCTTCCGCCCCGACCCCTACCCTCCGGCCCCAGCTCCCCGCCCGCCCCGAACCCCCTTCCGCCCCGACCCCTACCCTCCGGCCCCAGCTCCCCGCCCGCCCCGAACCCCCTTCCGCCCCGACCCCTGCCCTCCGGCCCCAGCTCCCCGCCCGCCCCGACCCCAGCCCCAGCTCGCCGCCCGCCCCGAACCCCCTTCCACCCCGACCCCGACCCCCACCCTCCAGCCCCAGCTCGCCGCCCGCCCCGATCCCTGCCCTCCGGCCCCAGCTCGCCGCCCGCCCCGAACCCCCTTCCGCCCCGACCCCTGCCCTCCGGCCCCAGCTCCCCGCCCGCCCCGAACCCCCTTCCGCCCCGACCCCTGCCCTCCGGCCCCAGCTCGCCGCCCGCCCCGACCCCCCTTCCGCCCCGACCCCTGCCCTCCGGCCCCAGCTCGCCGCCCGCCCCGATCCCTGCCCTCCGGCCCCAGCTCGCCGCCCGCCCCGACCCCTGCCCTCCGGCCCCAGCTCCCCGCCCGCCCCGAACCCCCTTCCGCCCCGACGGCTGCACCGCCAGCTCTGTTCACCTTCCCGTGGTGGCCTCTGAGCCATGAACCCTCCCTCTTCAATCACCGACCCCCGACCCTTGGCCTCTGACCCTGTGCCCCTCCCCGCGCCAGGCCGCTGCCAGCGGAAACAGCGGGGCAATCCCACGAACCCCGGGCTCCTCGGGACCCTCCTCACCTGCCGTAGCATCGTTAGAGCCGCCTCACTTCCGCCTCCCGCCACGTCACCGCCCGGGGCCAATCCCTCACGTGAGCTCCGCCCGTCGCGTGTCGTCATCACGCCGCGCCAGGTGGTGGGCGCATGAAGAAGGCGTCAGTGACAGTCCCTGGCCGACGGGGACGGGCGCGGCTGGTTGTCCTGGCGGCGCGGGCGCTCGGCAGGACCCGGTGTAGGCCCCAGCGGCCGGGGTGGCTCCCCATGGCCGGCGCTGGGGCCCTGCAAGGCCGTCCTCTCCCCAGCACCAGCCTCCCTGCCCCTCCCCGCTCTCTGTGGTGTGGCCGGGCCGGCTTGGGGGAGCGGGGCGTTGCCTGTGCGCTGGGAGATGCAGTCCCCACCCCCGTGCGAGCGGAGCGGAGCGGAGCCGGGCGGGTTTCCCCACGGCGCGTCGCCCCGGGTTACTGCATGGCTGGGCGGGCACCAGCCCAAAGCCGAGCTGGCGAGGTGCCAGGGAGCCGCAGCGCTCTCCGCCCAGCGCCGCACACCTGGGGCACGTCTCCACTGCAAACCCTGCAGCGCCCAGTGTAATCGCTTGGTACAGCAACGGGAGGGTTTTTTCTAGCGCTGCAGTAAATCCTCTCCGAACGGCAGCGGCTAGGTCAAGAGAAGAATTCTTCTATTGGCCTGTCTGCATTACAGGGGGGTTAATTTGACCTAACTACCTTGCACAACAGGGTGTGAAATTTTTCACGGCCCCGAGCAATGGAGCCAGGGTGACCTAAGTTTTAGGTGCAGACCAGTCCTGAGGTAGGGATTTGTAGCAATGGAGTGACACTACTGTGTATTCCCTTCACATATGTTGCCTTTTCTTTACTGTTAAGAAGGATGCACATTTTAACTCAAGGTAACTAATGCATGAAAGCTATCTTGACTTTAAAACACAGTCATGATGAGACAAGGCACTTTAGATTGATCATGGGTACGCTAAGTGAGGACATCCCCAGATGGACCTGTGTAGTTGACTAAAATGCCTCGACTTCACTGTATTTTTTTCCTTCGGGGTTGCTCATGCACATTAGTAAACCTGAGGTAAAAATCACACCTTTTTCAGCAGCAAAGACAAAGCCTTAGAAAGGGCTCTGCAGCTACTGCTAAATCAGCCCTGCTTCTAGTTGCAGCATATGTGGCACACCAAGATCCAAACTGGAAAATGCAAACAAAATGAAACTTGGAGCTTAAATAATTTTTTAAAAATTAATTCAATTTAATAATCTCAGGTCACATGACTGAGACCTGGGATTTAACATGATTTTGAGGTGAGGTCCATTTAAGTTCTAATTAAAAGCAAAAGTGATTTAATTTTGTAAACTACGATGGAGCAGAAAATTGCAGCTGAGAGAGGGAGCTGGGCACAGCTGAACACACTGAAATTGTATGTCCTGATGCTATATAAGAATCCTGAGTTGGCTGGTTAATCCACTTACCTGTGGTTGTCTGTACCTTGCAGATACCAGATATAAAGCCACAGTCTAAGACTAGCATTTTATAAGTAATTTTGACACATTCCTACAGTTAACCCACTGGGTCCAATCCTTTCAATGGGAAGAGGGGCCCATGTACTTTAAGGGCTTGTATTCACTAGGAAATTTAATCATATCTAAACATGATTTTTAATTTTGAGTTAGGTGACAACAATTGACCAGCAAGGATAAATCATGTTCCCCATTGTCAGCTATTGATGGGTAAACCCTAATACATCTGTACTGACTGCATTGCGTTAAGTAACTCAACTGTTAAAAATCAAGTTTAAATGCAATTAAATTTCTAGGGAAGATAAGGATGAAATTCACCACTGTGCAGAGACCCAGCACTAGGCCTATGCGCTATTTTCATCCCACTTAAGCCCTTGAAATAAGATTTAAGCAAGACAGGGCCTTGTGCTGACCCTTTATTCAGGATGAACTTGACACTAATAAAATTGGTCTCATAGGAAAATCCATGTACATTTTTCAGTACGGAAGGAATCTCTGCTAGAGTAGAGCTGTGCAAGGCTGCTTGATGCTGTCTGCCTGTATTTACAGTTCTCTCTCCGAGAACAAGCAGTTTCAATTATAATCCAACAAGGAAGATACAAGTACAAAAAGTGTTATGGTTGGGTACATTTATTTTGAATAATAAACTTGCACATTTCATGTGGCTCAGACACCTGCTGAGTTGCCCCCAGGATTGCAAGGGTCAGGCACCTCTTGCTCAAAACATAGGTCAGATGATCAGCCTCTTGGAGCTTGTCAGAAGCCTCATGAGGAAAACTTGCAAGCGTAGCACTGTGTGGTGATCACAAGGGGAGATGCTCATGATCACATTTAAATCAGTATCTAGTTATACTAGGCCCAGCTGAATAATAATCTTATGGGCTGCTGTGACGACTATTTAACTGGTTTCAGAGTAGCAGCTGTGCTAGTCTGTATCTTCAAAAAGAACAGGAGTACTTGTGGTGCCCTAGAGACTAACAAATGTATTTGAGCATAAGCTTTCATGGGTTACATCAGTTAACAAGAATGTGTGAGGAACAGTAGGGGGGAAAAATAAACATGGGCAAATAGTTTTACTTTGTGTAATGACACATCCACTCCCAGTCTTTATTCAAGCCTAAGTTAACGGTGTCCAGTTTGCAAATTAATTCCAATTCAGCAGTCTCTTGTTGGAGTCTGTTTTTGAAGTTTTTTTTGTTGTAATATTGCAACTTTTAGGTCTGTAATCGAGTGACCAGAGAGATTGAAGTGTTCTCCGACTGGTTTTTGAACGTTATAATTATTGATGTCTGATTTGTGTCCATTTATTCTTTTACATAGAGACTGTCTGGTTTGGCCAGTGTACATGGCAGAGGGGCATTGCTGGCACATATCACATTGGTAGATGAGCAGGTGAACGAACCTCTGATAGTGTGGCTGATGTGATTAGGCCCTATGATGGTGTCCCCTGAATAGATATGTTTCAGAGTAACAGCCGTGTTAGTCTGCATTTGCAAAAAGAAAAGGAGTACTTGTGGCACCTTAGAGACTAATCAATTTATTTGAGCATAAGCTTTCGTGAGCTACAGCTCACTTCATTGGATGCATCATGCATGTAGCTCACGAAAGCTTATGCTCAAATAAATTGGTTAGTCTCTAAGGTGCCACAAGTACTCCTTTTCTTTTTCCTGAATAGATATGTGGACACAGTTGGCAATGGGCTTTGTTGCAAGGATAGGTTCCTGGGTTAGTGTTTTTGGTGTGTGGTGTGTGGTTGCTGGTGAGTATTTCCTTCAGGCTGGGGGGCTGTCTGTAAGTAAGTCCTTGCCTAATCACGTAAAAGAATAAATGGACACAAATCAGATGTCAAGAATTATAACATTCAAAAACCAGTCGGAGAACACTTCAATCTCTCTGGTCACTCAATTACAGACCTAAAAGTCGCAATTCTTCAACGAAAAAACCTTCAAAACCAGACTCTAACGAGAGACTGCTGAATTGGAACTAATTTGCAAACTGGACACCATTAACTTAGGCTTGAATAAAGACTGGGAGTGGATGTGTCATTACACAAAGTAAAACTATTTCCCCATGTTTATTTCTGCCCCCTACCATTCCTCTCACGTTCTTGTCAACTGCTGGAAATGGCCCATCTTGATTATCACTACAAAAGGGTTTTATTCCCTCTCCTGCTGGTAATAGCTCACCTTACCTGATCACTCTCATTACAGTGTGTATGGTAACACCCATTGTTTCATGTTCTCTGTGTATATAAATCTCCCCACTGTATTTTCCACTGCATGCATCCGATGAAGTGAGCTGTAGCTCACGAAAGCTTATGCTCAGATAAATTGGTTAGTCTCTAAGGTGCCACAAGTACTCCTGTTCTTTTTGACTATTTAACTATGTAAATAATATTTTCTTGAAGAATCATGCAGTGTTCCTTATATAATCCCTCCCCCCAACAGAACATTGATGGCCATGAGATGGTATCCTCAAATGGGGACCAAAGCTGAATCAAACAATTTGAGCAACCCAAGAAGCCCAAAATCCCATCTATTTCTTGGCATTTATTTCTTTAACAGAGCTGGTAGTGTACCTTAAGGAGCTTTGCTCAGACATACACATTAAGCCCAAGTTCAGGGGCAGCTATTTTTCCCTCCTTGGTGAAATCGTCTATGGGGAGGCCTTTAATTTTCTTTAACCAGGCCTTCCTGCACTCTTTTTGCTGGTCTGCTATATATTTTGTTCGGTGAGCTTGATACTCAACAGCTGTAGCTTCTTCATACATTTTCATCTGCTTCACTGTCAGAAGCCTGAACCCAGTATTCATCCGGTAAGGATTTGTGGTTTGTAAGAAGAAGGGACTTTCTCTCCGGATCCCTGCTTCAATTTTAGTTTGTGCGATCATCATGCGTGTTGATTGGATGGATTCAGATGAGCTTGTGAAGTGGCCAATCAACTGAGCCCCACCCTCAGATCGGGAAGTGGCTCTGCCATGGCCAGTATGAACCTTCTTCTCTTCTGGCAAGCTGCAGCATGACTTGGAGCGTACAATCACGGGAGCAGGAATGAAAGAGTGGACTGCGGACCCATGCAAAGAGTTCTTCAAGTTGAGCTGCAATCTTTTGGTTTCAAAGGGTGTGGAAATTCTTTTCATAATCAGAGAGCCACTGGCAGATTTAATGTGTCTGAGTTGGGTTGACTGATCCTTTTTCTCTTGCTTAGGGATTTTGTATGTCTTCTCTTTAGGGCGTTCCTGGAGGAGCAGCGAAGGTCCCCAGACATCCCTGATTTTTGTATGGTGCATCATATTGGAGCTGACTTGGTCCTGCTTGTAGGCGTGCTGCAGCGTGCTGACAGTCAGGAGGATCTGGTCAGGAGAAATGGGACAATGCGGGCCTCGTTTCTTTATACGCTGTAAAGAGGCCTTAGCGTTTTCAGCAAGTGAAGATGCATGGACTGGAGAGTCGTAGCCAGATTCACTATCTATTTCCAAAAATAAACATGAAGAAAAGAAAAAATTATCTAACTATATATATCTGTATATATGGAAGTGATTTTACAGTGAGGCTGCTGGTGGTGGTGGTAGCCTGTTTGATCCTTCTTCGAGAGATGGAGTCCCCAAAGGGG